AGCCAGGCACCCTGGGGGCTCCCCGTTGGGCACTGCTGTTCCCAGGAGTACTCAGCCTGCAGAGGAAGCAGGGGGAAGAAGCGAGCCAGAAGCTTGGAGAAAGATAAGCGTAAAACATCTTAAAAATACACAGGGGTGTCAACTCAAGAGGAGGGAACGGTAACAAAAGAGTTTGGGACTGCATGGGCAGTCAAGAGAGGAAAAATGTGGTTACTGTGCCAAGACACAGTGGAGGGGGACACCCTGAAGGCCCCCATCTGTCAGTCAGATAGAGTCACACCTACCTGTCCTACAGCCAGACTTTTTTGCCAGCTACAGAAACACAGGAACAAGCATGAATTGACTATTTCACTTTAGGTACGTACCCACACTGAGATCTGATGTCCAAACATCAAGGTCATCCTGCTACAGTGCCTGGATGAAGACGCCTTATCACAGCCTCCAGCATATGAGACATGAACTCACAGCTGAAATACTGGTTTCCACACAGTCAGCCGCAGTGTGGTTTTATGAGACAAGAATGTGCAGATTTAAGAGCTCACCTTTCCTAAACAGGAGAGTTTCTGGTTCTTCTTGGGTCCTGGCTGTGGCATCTCCCCTGCAAAAGTCATGCCAGTGCTGTTGCTCATCAGAGCCTTCTGTGACTCACTTTAACTTGCTAAAGCTGCAGGGGAAAAAAAAAAAACAGCATGCAAAGAAAGAGTTGAATACTTTCCTGCTATTTTAGTTAACAGCAGCTCATGGAAGAAGGGTCTGATGTTAGGCCAGGGTGATTACCGGGCAGGGGAAGAAAATGCTGACTGCGAAGCCAAACGTAGGAGCCGTTAGACTTAAGTTCAGCTGCCGGTAGCGCTGTACTCTTACAGCCTGACAGGTTGCTTTGCTGCATGTTTGAGCCCACCATTTGACAGAAGATCAAACCATTGATCAATGAATTAATCCGATGGCACTAGCAAAGCGTGCATCCTATATCAGAAAGGAAGGAAAAACATGGAATAATAAATAGTATAAATTGGGAGGCTGCATTTTTTTTTTTAGTGCAGCAGGTTGTCAGCTTGCAGCAAAAGGGATTGGAGGCAAACAAGCTAACAAGTATGACACATCTAAGTAAGCAACCAGTGCAAATTTGGCTGTTATGGTATGAATGAAGCAATACCCACTACCTTCCAGATTGCATCAACTCTTCTCCCCTTCAGTGCTGAAAAGCAATGCAGGAAAGAGGCATGGGAAAGGAAGAGGAAATCCAGGAAGCCAGACTTGCGTCTTACTGCTTGCTAAGTATAAGGAGAGTTTGTTCCCAAAGCCACCTGTTCACTGCATTTATTTTAATACAAACCAGTATCATTTTAGATGGATCCCAAGATTTTGAACTTGAGAAAGGGTGGGAGGGGAAAAAAAAAAACAAAAAACCACAAACAAACTGATGGAGTTCTGAGATTTTTCAGACCTCCTGTCATTTTACATTCAAGTCTTGCAACATAGTCATTGTTGCATGGGATTAGGGAATAATTGTATAGAAGAATAAAAAACCTTCTGCTTGGAAAGACGCTTTCAGCAGAGTAGGTTCTGCAGCTATAGTTCTTAAGGTGAAGCAGCTAGCCAGCTTGTGAAAGTAGGAATGACAGTGTAGACTCAGAAGCACAGATTTCAACTCAGCTCTTTGCCTGCAGTGCACCACTTTACGCAGAGCACTGCTAGAACGGGTTAGTTAGCAAGCCTTGACAGAGTTAAAAGTCAAAATTTGTTAACTGTCCTTTTATTCTTTGTTTCTTCAAGCTGTCTAGCCTATTGTTGGTCCTAATACAGGAGATTGCGTGTCAGCCTTTACCTAACTAACACAGAACAAGATTGAGTAAGGCTTTTGGGGTACCCTAGGTCAAGATTTGAACATACTAAATGGCTTATTTCCAGCAAAATCCTAATGGTTGCATAAGACCTTAGGGGTTTTCATTAATTATCTATTACTTTCACGGACCCTGTTGGCTCTCATGGTAGACTTGTAATTCACAGCTGCCCACTTTCTCCTACATGGTGCACATCATTTTAGGATTTTTCTGTAACGCGAGATTCTTAGTTATTGCACGTTCTTTGCAGGTCAACCTACATGTTGCAAATAACTGGTAGGAAACTAATGAGCCGCTCACCATTGTTAGTCACTTTAATCAACTCTATAGCAGGCTTATGCAAAAACTGTACAGGTACGTATAAAACCTGTCCAACCTGAATGCCTTGTCTCGGGATTTCTTTCAAGCATACCATAAAGCATCTACTGCTGCCATTAAAAATACAATCGACCCACACTGATCTTTACCTCATCTTATCAGTGGAGAGCCACATTCTGCCAGCCCTACTCTGTTATTACCAGCAGTCAACTCAGTGAAATCAAGAGACTGCAAACAGACTTTGCGTGAAGTTTTGGAACAGTGTCATTGAGGATTGGGGGGGGGTGTCAGTTATTTTCACACTGTTGTAAACATAAGGAGGTTAGCAGCAGGCACTAGCCACGCTGACAAACAGAAAATTGCCTTTTCTGAAGCTCAGCAAGGTGACATAGAGCAAAAGTGGATACTCAGTGGGGCAGAATGTCTCACTAGACAGTCATAGACAAGAAGGAGGTTCTCAGGACAGAGGAAGGGAAAGCTGACTGGACATGAATTCCCATCTTTCAAGTTCCTAAAAAGGTTTGAAACTTTACAAAGTATGTTTCCATTAACTGATCTTTCCTCCCTGTAAGTGGTCCCGGAACCACTTCCTGAGGGAACGTCTATGAAGTCAATAGTAACCCTTAAAGAGGGAAGCAGCCTGCTGCCTCAAGCACTGCTAAGGGCCCTGAGGTCCTAAGGTGAGTTCCTGGATTTGGAAGGCGTATCGTACAGCCTGAGCGGTGTAGACACAGGCTAGCTGATCCAGTTCCAGTCAATCTCCTGCACTGCAGTTTCAGACTATTTTGAACAGCCCAATTAAGCGATGACTCCTTATGATGACTCCATGCCCATTAAAAACTTTGAGTCTGCTGGCTGTATGTTTCAATTTGGCACAAGGAGCCCTGAATCGTGTCTCATAGACCAAGATTTAAAGTTCTCTTTACATTTAGCTTCACAAATATTTCCTTTGATGGCAAAAACCTCTTGAATCTGGTAACGAGCACGGTTGTTGAACACCTTCGCAAAAATAGTTATGTTGACAGTACGGTCAGGAAGAGGCATGTTGCTGTGCAGAAATCAGGATCACCTCTGAAGAAAACCTAGACAGCTCTGCGTGCTTAGTTCCTCCTCTGTGACAGCACTTTCTCTTTGCTGCCTGCTCTACCTCATTCCATTTTGGATGTGTGCATGTCCACGTGCACACATATATAGACACGTACATACACCCAGGGAAGCTAACAACGGTGCACCATGCTGAGCCTCAGCTACTCTCAGGTATTCCCACCACTATCATTGCTCCCCTTCGTGTATATAGGATAGTTTGCAGGGCGAAGCTGTGAGCTGGTGCTGTACCGAGCAACAGCTGCACTGGCACAAGGGAGGGACCAGTCTGGGTGCAGGGAGAGGCGAGGTCTCCTGCAGGTGCCAGAGGTCACTGTCAAACCGCAGCTAGTGCCTCCTGGTGAGGAGCACCAAGCAGCAGGAAAGCATGAGTTACCTCAGTCCTGCAGGGAGGAAACAAGAAGGGATGGGATGGGAATATTTGAGACACCTTCGTGGTGGCTGTCACTGACTTCTGTGGATCAGAAGCACCTGACAGCACAAGGGAGGAATTTGTCCAATTCCCCCATGTGCTGCTTCAGCCCTTTCCGTTCAAGCCCGTACAGCCTTGACAGCAGCTGAGCCCTTGGTCAGGAGGGAAATGTCACACTGATCAGTGGTAGCAGCATAAAATGAAAGTCTGCCTGCAAGCCACAGATCCCTCCCCACCTTAAAGACAAATAAATGCAGGACCACTCTGCCAGGCTTCCCGCGTCCTTGTCTGCCAGACTGCAGTGGGATAAGATTCACAAATCAGTAATTAATTTCAGGACTTGAGGAGCAGCACACGTGATATGCTGGGGATTTTCATTTCCCAAATAGGCAACTCTAGCTAGCCTAAACTTCAACATCAGTCATATTTACTAATCTTAGTCTGACCCCTAGTGAGCTGTCACAGAATAATCAGTTTTATCTATAATCCGTGCTGCTCCTGCCTGACAAGCAACTACTAGAAAAAGATGTCATTTATCCAGATTATTATTATTATTTTTTTTTAACTTGCTTAAGCTTACCCATAGCCTAACATAAGAAAGGGAGAGGAGAGTCAGCTCAGGAGCTGTAAGGCTTTTTCTTTTCCAAGTGGGCAAGGGTAAGAGAACGTATCAAATTCACTTAACTTCTTAATTTACCTCCATGTATAAGGTGGTTTTGCCCCCCTTTTTTTTCCCCTGCAAGTAACTGCTTCTTGAGATTTATTTTCTCTGAAGGAAACGAAGTGAAAGTTGTATCTGCCTAGATAACCAGTTTACGTTAACAAGCACGTAAAAATACATGAGAACAGATGTGTAAGTTAAAGCAGTAAACACATTTTTAAAGACCTAAATAACTTGGACTGTTTTTCAAGCCATTAGAAGCTTCTAGGTTTTTGTCAGCTTTAACCTCAGCGTTTTGTTCATACTGGATATTTCTTGCTCAGTGTATTTATGCCAAGTAGTTATAGGCCAAAATACAATCACCGTTAGCTTTCCTTGGCAATAACACAAGCACAGTAAAATTTTTATGGATTTTTTCCCCTTACGGAGACCCATTTGTCAAGCACACTGACAAATTAAAGAAAGTAATTTGCCCAGCCTCTGAAACATACCCATGAGAGCTCGTGCTTCTTTTTTAAAGGTAGGCTCTTCTGTAGCTGTAGCCGAGCGTTTGTGTAGCCAATAGTTTGTGTTTTGCTGCTTATGGCTTTGGTGCACTTCTTTCCCCCCGATTTGCACCGGATGTGATTTAGATGTCTATTCCCCTTCTTTCTCCTTACAGGCATTTTGAAGTTTGTGGAGATCACAGTTAACCTCCTGGTGCTGATTTGCGTGGGGGCTGCCCAGGCCTCTGTTGCAGGCTTCACGTCCATTGGGGGCTTGGGTATTGGCTCCTTTAACCTGAACTCAGCCTATAGCCCCTTTGAGGGAGCCGAGCTGCAGGAGGTGAGAGAGCTGGACATGCAGTTCACCCAGATGAGAGCCCCTTGCGTGTACGGCGGAGTAGCCTTCAGCTTAACGGCAGCGTCACTTACTCTCTTCTTCCTGGTGGCGGGGGCAAAACCCATCCAGCGCCTCACCGTGGGGCTGCTTGCGGGCGAATGTGCCTTCAGCCTGCTGGCTGGCGTCGGGTACGTCGCTGCTGTTGGCCTCTACTTGCATTTTGTCATCCAGGTGAACGCGACGGAGGTTTGCAAGAGGCGGGAGAGGCTGTACGCGCGCCGTGGTTATACCTCCATGAACTGCGCGGTCCAGGGCGGCGACGCGGCCGTCGGCCTCTTTGGTGTCGCTGCTGCCTGTTTGTACTTTGCTAGCTTCGTGGTCTGCGTCTTCGCTGTTCGGACCGTCCGGGCTTTCCGGAGCCGCGCCGCCGAGGCTCGGGGCAGCCCCGAGAGCAGCCTCAGAGACAGGAGCGTCGGAGACCACCGCATGGTCCACAGGAGCTCCGAGAGGTCCCACGGCGTCCAGGCTCTTGCCACGTTAGTGTAAGGTCAGCTTTGGGACCGTGCCAGAGGGCAGCAGCTTTGGCGGGGGACAGTCGCTGGATTTTAAACGCTAAACAGGCAACCCGTGCAACCGTGTGTTGTCCACGAAGGTATCGAATCACCAAATGTAACGGTACTGCTATAACACGTAATGTAATAAAACAGACACTTTGAGAGGAAGTTTTAACAAGGCTTTGCGTCAAGTCTCTCGAGCCCCACTCTTACGTTTAAAGTGTGTTTGGTGCCAGTGCTCTCATCCGGCACAGAGCAAATCCAAACAACAAGGGGCTGCTAACGGGTCAAAATCCCAGCGCTGCCAAGGTTGCGTTAACAACCACTTCCTTTCCCCTCCCACGACACAAGGAGTCGCGTACTGCTAACCCGGGCGGGCAGCTGTTCAGAAAGGTCCTCGAACAGACCCGGGTCCTGCT